ATTTTTTTGGAAATGTCAGGATTTTTAGTGGGTTAGTGAAATACTAAATAAGTTAGTATTGTTTTATCTGTAGGAACAATAAAACAATCATATCAGCGCAATTAACACAAAATAATTGTAGTTATTTCAATCTACATACATAAGAATAAACTTAAATTGCACTGTGCAACTATGTACAATATTGAATCGACTATTGTGTAAGTTTCACATAACATTTGTGTGATTGTGTTTGTGTTTCACATACCATGTGAAAGATAAGAGGTGGCTCCTTAATTTTAGTTACCTAGTAAATTATTATCATGTAGAGAACGTAAAGATATTGTGAGCCTCTCTGTTGAGCGAACTGTAGAAATAGCATGTGTTGAGTTTGAGCTTTGAGCACCTTATTGTTGTGAGCGTTTACAGACCGCCATGTTCTTTATATGATACTTTTGAAAAAATTTTGGAGGAAGTTTTTGCTAAGCTTAAGGCTACAGTCTTTTAAAGTTGACTCACATCGAATCATTAGCGCCACTTTGATTTCTTTTTTTACAGCAAATTATTGTTTCAGAGTAAAATATTTTGATAACACATAAATACCCAGATTATAAGTAATGGCAAAATTTTTTTTTTTGGTTCATCTATGTGGTCTATGTTAGATAAATCAAACGGTAAATAGAGCTCTCTCGCACCCAACGCAATTTCGAGCTTTGTTCGTGTACCATTATAAGGCAATCGATAATAAAAAGGCGAAATCTATTCAGCGCGTTAATAGCTAAACATCTTCATCTCCAAAATGCGCTGTTTCTTTTTTTCTAAATATCTTTCATTGTCTTAAATAAGAGGTCTCAATTTCGTTAAATTTCGCTGTTTTCGCCTCATAAAAAACTATTTGTTTCATAGCAATAGCTGAAAATATTTATGCTATAATTATTTTTTTCTCAAGGGCAGGTGTTTAATTAGACAAATATTAAAAAATAATAATTTAAACCACTTTATTTCAAAATTAATAATTATTTCGATCGACCTATAAAATATTGACTTTATAAACAATAATTGCGGGCAATATTCCTTAGTAGCCGCTGAGCGGCTGTAGCGTTCAGACGTCTTGTCTATGCCAAATTTTTGCACTTCCTCTCGCTCTAACATTCCTCTTTCTCTCTCTTTCCCTAATCTTGGTTGCGCATTGTTACGAATTGAAAGTTGCTCTACTTTATTATTTTTTGCATATAATTCTTTAAGGGTTTATAAATCATTTTGTATTTGTTTTATAACTTTTAATTTCGATATGGACCATAAACGTAAAAAATATGCTTGTACCAGAAAACGAAAATTGAAATCAAACGTTGAAGCAATGAACAGAAATAGAATTCAAAGGTAAGTTTTTTTTGTGTTTCATAGTAAAATAGTTAACAACGTGCATATGTGTGAGCACTTGGTTAAATATTAGGTAAATAATTAGGTAGGTACTTTTAAGAATAGTTTATAAATGAGTTGCATATTTGTAATGCATATAGGTAAATGCTATACAAAGTTACATTATACTTTAATGAGAAACTATAAATATGTGTGATAGTGGACTGTTTGTACTTATATAGAAATTATTTTGAGTTTTTTTTTAATCTATTTTAGTATTTAGAACTACTTGACGTACTTGACGGATTTTCGATAGTGTCATCAACTAATTACGAAACCCTCAGTGCACGACTCATTCTAGCACTTGCCAGATTCATTTGAATAATCAATAATACGAGTACATGTTATACAGGTTCTAGATGATTATCTTTTAGAAACCTTTTCAACAAAACAACAAAAATTATACAAACTTAAAATATTTTTTTTTGTGTAACGAATTTTGTAATAAAAGCATGGAACAAAAATAGATACGAGGTAGAAAATCTGTATGTGAAAATTTGTTAGCTAATTATCAATAATCCTGTATATTAGATAAATTGATACTGGAAAATCTTAGTAGAGCAACTTTCCACGCTACGGCCAGAAAGATAACTGCGGTGGCGGTACATGAAGTGGCGGGGCAGGGAGGGTGTAGATGTGTCACCAGAACGCAATTTTTCTGTTTTGCTCTGAAAGACTGGGCTCTTAATAAACAGAATAAATCTGTTGTAATATGTGGAGTCTTTAATATCAATCTCCTAGAAGCTTCCTCCAACAATATTAAACTAAGATCATTGTTTAAATCTAATGGTCTTTTTAATTTATTTTTGTAGCCAACTCGTATTGCTGAATCTAGTGCAACATGTATAGATAACATTTTTACAAATGTTAAGCCGTTCAATAAATGTATTAATCAAAAATTGAGCTCTGATCACTGTGGACAATTAGTTTCGTTACCTTATGTTCACAAAAAGCAAGTAAATAAAAAAGTAGTGTTTGTTCCAGTAAATGCAGTCGCTTGGAGAAGTTTAGAAGTAACATAGTAAAAAAACTTCCATCAATTTCATACCAAAATAATCCAGATTTTTTGTATGGAACATTATTTAAGCTCATTCACAATGAATTTAATAATACTTTTACTTCTAAAACATTCTCCTTGAACAATCGCAAGGCATTTAATGAGTGGGCGACAGTAAGAGTCCATAAGAGTAGACAAAGGTTATATGAACTTTACAATGAAAGGTCATATAATGCTAGCGTCGAATTTAGGGAATATGTAAAAAAATATTCCAAAATATTTAAAAGAGTGTGCTCCATAGCCAAGTCATTGTATTTGAGCATCAAAATAAAGACGACTTCTAATAAAATTAAAATGACATGGAGTATAATTAATAGTGAAACTGGGAAGGTTAGCTCTCGTAATTCGAACTATCAGTTAAGTTTTAACAATAAATTAATTGAATCAGATCAGGACGTTGCAATGGTTTTCGAGAAATATTTTACTGATATTCCTATCTTAACCACTAAGTCACTGAATTCTTCTCCTGCCGTCGCCGAATCATTACTTAAACAAAATGTAAATGCGTGTACAAAGAATTTTACATTTCATAAAGTGTCATCAAAAGATATTCTAAAATATTTTAAGACTATTGATATTAAGAAAACTGCCGATCTGTGGGGGATTTCCGATAAAGTTATTGCGTCTATAATAGATGCAATCGCACCTCAACTATCTATAATTTTTAATACTAGTATCAAATCTGGTGTGTTTCCTGATTTAATGAAGCATATTAAAGTAATACCTTTATTTAAATCTGGCAGTACATTGGACCCCGCTAATTTTAGACCTATTTCTATACTGCCAACACTTAGTAAAATTTTTGAAAAAATTATTCTGGATCAAATGTCAAATTTTTTTTTATGTAAATAATTTACTTCATAAAAATCAATTCGGTTTCACAAGGGGTTGCTCAACAACTGATGCTGGTGTTGAGCTTATTAAATATACCTTTAATGCATGGGAGAATTCACAGGATGCTTTGGGTATATTCTATGACCTATCCAAGGCCTTCGACTGTGTTCACCGTGAAACATTAATCAGGAAACTTCAACACTACGGTGTAAGAAGTGATGCTCTTAAATTAATTATTTCTTATTTAAGTGACAGAACGCAAAAAGTTGTAATTAATAGTATGAGTTCTTCCGGGTCAACTGTACAAATGGGCGTGCCTCAGGGCTCAATTCTCGGCCCCTTTCTGTTTCTTGTATATATTAATGACTTACCTTACATAGTAGGGGATAACCATGATATAGTATTATTTGCTGATGATACTTCATTAATTTTCAAATTAAAACGACATTTATTAAATTACGACGAAGTAAATAATGCTATAGCTAAGGTAGTCAATTGGTTTAATGTTAATAATTTGCATTTAAATGGAACTAAAACTAAATGTATGAAATTCGTAACTCCTAATGTCAAACATGTTAATACGAATGTAATTTTAAATGAGGAAGAACTGAGTCTTGTTGATACCACCATTTTTCTTGGAATCACACTAGACGCAAAGCTTCAATGGCTCCCCCATATATCAAAACTAGCTAGCAGACTTAGTTCTGCAGCATATGCTGTAAAAAAGATTAGAACTCTTACCAGTGTTGAAACAGCAAGAATAGTTTACTTTAGTTATTTCCATAGCATTATGTCGTATGGTATTTTGCTATGGGGACACGCGACTTACACTGAAATTATATTTATTTTACAGAAGAGAGCCATTAGAGCAATATATAATTTAAAACCAAAAGAGTCACTGAGACAAAAATTTAAGGAAATTAATACAATAACTCTGGAATCTCAATATATTTATGAAAATGTAATGTACGTACACAAGAATAAACGTAGTTTTGCAAAAATAAGTGATATTCATTCTGTAAATACTAGAAACAGACACAAGCTAGTAGTACCACGCTTTTACAACAAAATCCCAGAAAATATACAAAATTTGTCATACGCAAAGTTCAAAAATTTTATTAAACTAAGTTTGTAAAAAAGGGTTATTATAATAATAAGGAATTTATGGATGATAATAACCCCTGGGAAGGGTGATCGCTACCAAGCTGTTACTAATTTGTCTTGTGTTGTTAATTGTAAGCTATTATTTGAAAAAAAATAGTCCCCCTGTGTTTCTTGCTGGTTCTTGCCAGGACAGAGGTTTTTTTTGCGAACCAGTGGTAAATGAAAAAATTTACTTTCAATAAGTATTGTTATAATCTACATTGAATAAAAAAGTTTCTGTTTCTGTTTCTGTTCCATCCCTTTAATTTCTTATACATGTAATATCTTTATTATCTAGTTTAATAATTAAATTGATAGTCGTTTTAAAATATTTGTAGGAAAAAGAAATGGCTATTTTATAATTTTAAATATATATCATGACTTTTATCATTACTATTATTAATTTTCTTTATCACAAGACTACATTTTTATATACCTAGGTATATGTTAAATCACGCCCTACTTGTATATTTTTACAAGAGATATTTAGGAGTAATTTCACCCTCTTCTGGAATCGAAAAGAACAATGCTTCTATATTAAAGTACTTTCTAACATTAATACTGATTCTAGACAGACTGATCGTTTCCGCGACCTCGAAGTTGGAGAGCGCTTCAATATGGGGTATTATGCGAGGACTGGAGACATTTGCACAGAAATTTTATTTCTCCGACGATATGAACGTAAGTAATCAAAAGGGAAACTGCGTCTAAGATGCTAAAAACAAAATAATGACACCAATATAACAATAATACGCCTACCATAGATTGTGATTGAAATCCTCCCATTCAGGAAATGATCTAAACCTATTCATTTCATTTAATTCATTACAGCCTTTCAAAAGTCTATTATTGTGAATGCACCAAAATAATGTCCTCCAGACCGAATTTTCCTGGCCTGCCTCAACGGAAGCCAGCCAACGGCGCAAGACAGGATTATAGTGCCCGAGTGTATGTGCAAGCACAGGTGCACTCTTTATTCCCTCACTCTCATAATCCGATGGGACGGTAAACCGGCACGACCGGAGAGAGATCAGGCGCAGGAGCAACGGCTTTACGTGCTTTCCGAAGCACGGGGGTGAGACACCGCCAACTTCCTGACTCCGGGCAGCTACTGAGAATTTCTTGACCGAAAAACTCAACCATAGTTGTGTATGTACCAACATAGGCTACCTACATAGACTCATCATCATCAGTACAGCCCTACACAAGTACACTGCTGAACATAGGCCTCGCCCAAGGAATGCCACAAAGCACGGTCCTGAGCCACCTGCATCCATTGACTTCCTGCACGTCTTTCCAGGTCGTCACTCCATCTAGTGGGGGGTCGTCCTACACTACGCCTACAGGTACGAGGCTGCCACTCGAGAATCTTTCTTCCCCATCGGTTGTCGGTTTTTCGAGCTATGGCAATGGGACAACCTTCATAGATTGCCTTTCCCCAATTTTTGTCATAGTTATTACGCTGCTTAGCAGTTCTTTCTGTTAGATAGATATAATCCTTTATTGCACTATGCTATATTAATCTGGCGTTATTTAGAATTAAAATATTAAAATAAATTAAAATTAAAAATAATGATAAATCTCTCCGTAGACATGTGTCAATCATGAATGATTCGTTTCTTTGAGCTGGTATACTTAAAAGTATTGATAGTTCATCTGTTTTTAATGTTCCGGTACAACCAATCACAAACAATTGACGGAACCCTTTTTAACTCGAGATTGTTATGAATTGTGAATGAGTCGAAAACCGACCGAATCCTGAATAATTTGAATGAATTGTTTTTAGTGTATGGTACTGGAGCCCGAAACGATCTAGAATGATTCGGTCACGAGAAATGAATGATTGACACATGTCGATCTCCTGGAATTCCTCCCTATATGTTTGTAAAGATTCATCACAGGTACTTCTAAGGTACAGGTAACAAATTCTAAGGTACAGGGTACAGGTAAGCACATTATAGGTAATTTCTTTGTACAGTGAAAATAATGGTAATTTAAAAAAAATAAAAAACATGTTCCTGCTTCATAGTTAGTTCAGTTAGTTTGCAAAGTTTCATGATCTTATTTAAAGCATTTTATGAATAACAGTGGTTTATTGTTCAGTTTTGAGGTAACTTTGGATTTTTTTTCTATCGAGAAAATTTTACAGAATCATGTTTTCGTCTAACATAGTACTTAACATTAATTCCTCAACTTTACCATATATTTATTTCAAAATTAATGCTGCAATATTTTCGGCATAGCGGAGGATCTTGCTAAGCCATTTGAGGTTATAAATTTCCCCTAAAAGTGATAGAAAGAGCACGGTGTATTAAAATTGCGTAGACTTTGAATATTTGGGCATAAAACAACTGTTTTCACTATGATTTGTGCAATAGCAGACCAAATTGCACCAGCTGCCATTAGTTTATTTCTATGTTGAATCTTATTGCAGGAAATCAGAATAAACGCTTCACAAGTCGACGACTTCCCTCGTTATCAGCATCGTGGGCTTCTCCTGGACACATCCCGCCATTATATTTCTCTGTCGAATATATTGAAAACATTGGACGCCATGTCGATGAATAAGATGAACGTCTTTCACTGGCATATTGTAGACGATCAAAGTTTTCCTTACCAAAGCGAGAAATTCCCTGAGTTAAGGTATACAATTACTTCTTGATTTTTATCTCACGATCGTCATTACAGCCCATCACAAATCCACTTGTGAACATAGGCGTCCCCAAGGAATGTCATAAAGCACGGTCCTGAGCCATCTGCATCCATCGACTTCCTGTATCTCTTAACAGGTTGTCACTCCAACTATTTTTCCTTTAACACAAAACAATAGTAGTTTATAAATTAGTTTCCATCCTAAACTAGAGTCTGTGTCACTCAAAGAGTTTTGGTAATAATCGTAAAAAGCGATCGTAAAAAAATATCTTATTAAATTTTTTTTGCAGCCTGAATAATATGAAGCACATGATCTTTCTGATATTTTTTCATATATCTGCCTCTTAGGACACTACTGTAACGGAATGAGTTAATGGATTCCCTTACACAGTGGTGGCTAACTAGGTGCCAAGGTGCCAATGGGCGCAAGGTTAGAAAAGGGCGCGCGCGCGGAAGTATTTAAACGAAAAATAATTCGTCTACGAGTACTTGATCATTCATCATCCCCACTCTCATTACGGTTTTCATCCACCTGTTAAGGGTACACGTAATATAATTATTTTGCAATTAATATAGTTTTTATTATAAAATTATAATTTATAAATCATGGTCGCCAGGGGTCGCCCATGAGGTGCTAGCCTAGGTCGCTGTCGACATTTAATCCACCTCTGCCCTTACGTCGCTCTCTAAACTTGCCAGTATATAGCAAGTAAAACAAACTACGATTTTTGTCAATTTCAATAAGTCCCGATGGGTTTCTTGCTGGTTTTTCCTAGGACAGAGGTTTTATTCCGAACCAGTGGTAAAAAATTCCTTTCAATAAGAGTCATTTATTTTGTAATCTATATTAAATAAAAAATATTTTCTATTCTATTCCATTCTTAAAATCTACCTTTTAACTTGTTATAAAGTATATCTGAGTCTCCGCAAGGTTATCGTTAGATTGTGAACCAGTTCCATAGCATTGTGCAAATCGTCGAGTATCAATGAATTTCGAGTAGCTGCTTATTATTGAAACAAAATAATCATGGAGAGTTTGCAAACAATCCAGCGGTGGGACGGCTCGTGATTCCCGAATCTAAGCTCGAACTGATTAGATTTAGACTCGGTGTTTTAATGCTTTTACATACCTATAGTGGAGTGAGGAGTGAGTGTAGTGGCGATGCAAAAATATAGCCAATACAAAGGGGAAACTGAAAAAGGAGATTGGCGGCAGCTTCTTCCTGATAACAATTCAATCTAATAAAAGACTGCGGTTGCCAATCCGACTACAAGCGTGGCAACTATTGCAAAATGTCCTATAAGAGGCAATCTATAGGGGAGGCCTCTGGGTAATGAATAGATGGAGAATTAGATTACATTTGAATTATAATATGGATTCATGAGTACATTAAATGTATGACATTATTTAACTTACGTTACAAATTTTGTAATGTAAGTTACCCAATATCATAGCTGTAACTCGCAACACGATTTAACACACGCAATGTTACTCATCCGGCTTTCGACTAGGTATTTCTAAATTATTTATCTCATCGTTTTAGTTTGCAGGGCGCCTACCATTCTTCCATGGTGTACACTAAAGAAGATATCTCAAGGGTTGTCGAATACGCGCGAGTGCGAGGGATTAGAGTCTTGCCTGAATTTGATGTACCCGGTAAGGATCCACACCTATTCTTCGTCTATTTCAGCAATAATTTTAATTTTATTGTAAAGTAAGGTAAGTGTGGGTAACATGGTTACCTTAAGTTTTGCCGCCCTATAAAACCAAAACTAGGAGGAGGACAGAGACAAAAACACAAAGTCGTGTACTATAAGTAATATATTAAGAGAAAAATAGCTTTGGCAATAATTGGAAACTTCAATCTAAAACGAAAAATCAACCTAAAAATAATAATTACACAATTATGGAGTGTAAAAGTAAGGAGTACCAACTCCCATAGTAGAATAGTTGAAAAAGTGGTCATCTGTAAGCAATAAATAACAGTTCAAAAATTCTCCACAACAGCGCTGGAGTAGCTACTGGGATGAAATGAACTTAGCAGTTGTCGACGGTTTAAGTGTGCTACTAAACTGCTCAGTAGCTCTAAAATCTAAAATAATTTTATTTAGTAATATATTTACTAAATAAAATTATCTAAAAAGTCGTCTATCCCACTAATATTTTTCGGTGCGTTCTTTAAAATTTACCTCGTAGCTATAGTGGCGCCACCCTTATTTAAAGGTTTTTATGGACACTTTTTAATACACAGTCTGTACTCCTTACTTCTACACTCCATATACACAATACTAAAATCGAATAAATATTTACTATAATGTCAACTGGCAAAATGGCGTCGATGAAGCAACGTCTATTTGACCCTTTAATATTTGATTGACTATTGAAGAGCTATCGTATCACACAGCCCTCTGTGCCAACAAGGCTGTAGCACAGAATAAATAATAGTCTGTAGTTTTTGACGTATTAGAAAGTGCCCATATAAACCGTACGACCATATTACCCTCTCTAAGTTTCTTTATATATATTTAAATTCTTCTGTAAGTACAATTTTTTGCAATGAACTCTTCCTAAACAGTTAGATCGGTTTTGATATTTTTTTTTGTAGTTGCGTGGGTTTCAGTGAGTTTAGATTTACATTGTCGAAATCCAGAAACCACCCTTGCGAAGCCAGAACGTATTAGGTACTAGCAGTAATACTATATTTTTGAAAGTTTACTAAGATATTTTACATTATGTTATATTTAATTCGTATAAACGGATCAACGGATTTGGATTAAATTGGCACAAAGCTACATCATATCATCATCATCATTCATCATCATTACAGCCCTTCACAAGCCCACTGCTGAACATAGGCCTCCCTCAAGTATTGCCACAAAACACGGTCCTAAGCCACCTGCATCTATCGACTTCCTGCATATCTTACCAGGTCGTCACTACATCTAGTGGGGGGTCGCCCTACACTACGCCTACCGGTACGAGACTGCCACTCGAGAACCTTTCTTCCCCATCGGTTATTGGTTCTTCGAGCTATATGGCCGGCCCATTGCCACTTCAGCTTACTAATCCGTTGGGCTATGTCGGTCACTCTGGTTTTACTGCGGATATCCTCATTTCTGAGTCTATCACGCAGAGAAAGTCCGAGCATAGCCCTCTCCATAGCTCGCTGAGCGACCTTGAGCGTCCTCATACGGCCAGCAGTGACGGACCACGTCTCAGATCCGTAAGTCATCATTGGCAACACGCACTGGTTGTACAATCTAGTTTTCAGAGATTGAGGTATACCTGACGAGAAGATGTGTCGTAATTTCCCGAACGCTGCCCAACCGAGTTGAATCCGTCGATTGACCTCTCGGTTGAAGTTGGACTTACCTAGTCTGACTATTTGTCCCAGGTAAACGTACTCGTCAACAACTTCGATCATAGTGCTCTCAACAACTACCGGTATAGGTGTGACATCTAAACATGATCTTTGTTTTGTCCATGTTCATCTTAAGACCTATCCGTTGGGAGGCACTATTGAGGTCATTGAGCATAGTGCTTAGGTCCTCCAGCGATTCTGCCATAAGGACTATATCGTCAGCAAATCGAAGGTGAGTGATGTACTCGCCATTGATGTTAATACCGTATCCTTTCCAGTCCAGTAGCTTAAAAACGTCTTCCAATGCAGTGGTGAAGAGTTTCGAGGATATAACGTCACCCTGTCTTATACCTCTCTGCAGTTGGATAGGTTTCGAACTCTGATTCTGTACTAGGATAGCCATCGTAGCCCTACTGTACCAATACTTCAGCACTTCGATATACCGACGGTCAACTTGGCACCGCTGAAGGGACTGTAGCACCGCCCAAATTTCGACGGAATTAAAGGCTTTCTCATAGTCCAGGCAAAGTGGAAGATTGTACTTTTCGGTCTTCTGTACAATCTGCCACAGGGTATGTATGTGGTCTATGGTACTAAAGCCTTTTCGGAAACCGGCTTGTTCGGGAGGCTGGAAGTCGTCGAGTCTGCATGCGAGACGGTTCGTAATGACTCTCGAAAACAACACGTAGACGCGGCTCAGAAGGGAAATCGGTCTGTAGTTCTTCAAGAGAGCGTTGTCGCCTTTGTTAAAGAATAAGACCACTGCACTTCTGCTCCACGCCTCCGGAGTAGTGCCACCATGGAGGACGGAATTGAAGAGCTTCTGAAGGACTTCAAATACCGGTGTTCCACCCGCTTTCAGAAGCTCCGCTGTAATTCCATCCTCACCTGGGGCCCTGCCGTTTTTAAGGTGCTGGAGAGCCATTCTAATCTCGCTCAGACTGACGTCCGGGATATCATCGGAATAGTGTCGGATAAGACTTGCTCTTAGATTGTTACTCACACTTGCGTGTGGCTCCAACGATGATGTGTACAGCTGCCCATAGAACCTATCAATCTCACTCAAAATCTCAGGTGTCCCGGAAACGATGCTGCCACACTCTTCTCTTCAACCTTGACAGTTGGCTCTTTCTGGCCGACAGATCTCTGGCAAAGACTTTGGATCCCTGGTTCCGCTCGATTACTTCCATAATACGAGCAGTATTAAAGTTGCGTAAGTCTCGCCGCATGCATTTGGAGATCTGTCTGTTCAGTTGCCTGTATGCTGTCAAATCTGTTGACGATTGCAGCCTCATCTCCCGTCTAACAGCCATGAGATTAAGAGTGTGATCGGAGAGTTTTTGTGTTCTTTTGCGGCGGATCTTGCAGAACTTATCTCCGACCGCATGGACAGTTTCCATGAGCTTGTCATTCATATCGTCCACTGCATTGCAATCTTCTAGGCACTGAAAGCGGTTACGTAACTCAAGCTGAAAGGTTTCGGGATTTTGGATTAGAGCACGAGGGGGGACGGAGCGTTGATTTCATTAGACGAGACCTCTCCAACTTAACGTTTAGGTTCAGTGTGCCTCTAACCATTCGGTGATCGCTGCCAGTTTTCAACCTTGCAATCACTGAGACATCACTGAACAGTTGGCGTCTGGTCGTCATAATGAAGTCAATCTCGTTTTTTGTCGAACCGTCGGGACTCGACCAGGTCCACTTTCACAAGAGTTCATCATAAAAAGTCCCTCTTTCTCCATGAAGTCGGCCAACTGCTGGCCCCTTGGGTTCCGTTGCCCTATCCCAAATTTCCCTACCTTCAGCTCACCGTTCTTTCTTGTGCCCAGTTTTGCGTTGAAGTCTCCCATTAACACCGTATAGTGAGTTTTGGAGGAATGCATGGCTCTAGAAATGTCCTCATACATTTCCTCCACCTCCTCATCGGGATGTACCGACGTTGGCGCGTAAACCTGTATGACCTTCAGCGTTTAGTACACTCCCAATCTTTAAAACGTTGTTAACGAGAGACTTGTGGACGATAAATCCAACACCTCCTTGGGACAGATGGTCGCTCGGTGATAGAACAAGTTGCCGGATTCGAGCATCACCGTGTCCTCCCTCTCTCTTCGGACCTCGGATAGTCCTATAATATTCCAGCGCAATTTGTCTATCTCTTCTTCCAGCTCCAGGATCTTCTCGTTAGTCCTCAGGGTGCGTGCGTTAAATGTTGCCAGGTCGAGTCGTCGTAGGTGGCAACCGAACCTCCACCGGAGATTCTTAGCACCCCCTGCCCCGCCGTTACCATGGTCGCCACCGTAGCCTGGAATAGCGGGGCCGCCGGGGACTGGGGGTCGTCTATTTGTGTAATTCTTCACGGGGGGTATATTGCCATAGTTGCCACGCTTGGCGAGCGGGTTGGCAACCGCAGTTTTTTATTATATCACAGTTGTTATCAGGAAGATGCTGCTGTCCATCTCCTGCCTGTCTCCCTCTGTCGCCTCTTGCGACACCCACGGGAAGATATGGGGTAGTGGATATTTTTAAATAGATCACGTCCTGGATCAAAAAATGGGATGTCCATTATAATAGGTCCTTACATAAGAAATTGGCGTTTTGTACGGGAGGAATATAAAGTAATTTTTTTTTATAAAATATATTTAATTAATCAAAGTATGCACCGTCGTTATCTATGTGTGTTGCCATCTCATGGGTAGTTCATTTGATCCCTTTACTTAAAATACCATGGGAGCGAGAATCAATAAACTCTTTGAAGGCGGTTTGGACTGTCCCATCGGAGTTGAATTTTTTTCCTTGTAAGAAGTTGTCCAAATTCCGAGAAAAATGGTAATCTGTTGGAGCAAGGTCCGGGGAGTACGGTGGATGTCGCATGCATTCCAATTGTAGCTCATCTAACTTAGTGGTTGTTTGTTGTGCAGTGTGTGGTTTTGCGTTGTCGTGAAGCAGCAGTGGCCTAGAGCGATTGACCAAGCTCGGTTGTTTAGCAGCTAGTTCTTTCTTCATGGTTTGCAGTTGCTGATAATAGATATTTGCCGTAATCTTTTGGCCAAATTTTAGAAAATTGTAGTGAACGACATCGGCGCTAGTCCACCAAACACTCACAAGTAACTTTTTCTGAGTAAATTTTCGTTTAGGGCAGGATTTAGCTGGGTCTCCAGGGTTCAGCCATTGCGACGAGCACTTCCGATTATCGTACAGTATCCACTTTTCATCACAAGTAATGATTCGATTTAAAATCCTTTAATTTTTGTGTCGGTTGGGCAAAGTAACACAGCAGTCGACGCGTGTTTGCAAGTTCGATTCACTCAGTTCATGAGGTACACATCGTTCAAGTTTTTTTACTTTCCCGTTTTGCTTCGAGTGTATTAATACATTTTTATCACTTACCCCAAAGCCTGCAGCTATATCTGAAGTGCTTTGTGATGGATCCGCTTCCACAATAGCTTTTAATTCTTCATTTTCCACTTTGGTCTCCGGCCGTCCACGGGGTTGGTTCTGAAGGTCGAAATTTCCGGAACGAAAACGTTGAAACCAAAAACGTACGTCTGGAACATCATTGATCCTTCGATCTGTTTCTGCAGCACTGGTACCACGGTAGAACTCGTACTTGTAAATATACCGATATTTCATGTTTTCCATTGTGCGATAATAAGCGACGCCAAAGAAAAAAATAATGAGGAAAAAAACAAATGATTGACTGTTTTCAAAATTCAAATGTACCAGCTAAATGAATTTACAAATTTGAATTAAGAAAATATTTGAGATGAAAGAGAAGATATTTCAGATCAAAGTGGTCAGTACGACAAAACGCTAATTTCATATGTAAGGACCCAATAATAAATGAACATCAAGCCGTTTCTGTTTCCACCACATAAATAGTAATAATATCGTGTTATTGTAACGATTTCTGTGGTTTCCACGCATTTGAAGCCTGTGCCGTCAATCTCTACTTATAAAATAATGAACGCGGGTAAAGCATATAAACAGTAAATTGTACCAATAGTTTTTATATCTATTGTAAAAATTGTGAAAAACGTGCACACAGTCCACCCGGTGGTAAGTGGATGGGACATAACCCATAGACATCTACAGCTTTCCTTGATTAAGAATCAATATTCAGATGCGTTGTCACTGTCACACAATGTTGGAATGCCTCGTTTTCAGTAAAAAGCCGGAACAGCATTGAGTTGCTAAATTCAGCTCGTATTATGTGAAAGCGTTGTCCTTCTCCGGTGACGCAGTGTAGCGCATTGATTTATATATTACACACATTACATTACATTGTTGTATAACTCAATGGGGTAGCACGACGCTACCAACTATAATTATTTGCAAATCTATTTTGTGAAATTCCGTTTGTGTTAACCGACATTGACTCGAATGATAACCTTTTGTTTCGTGTTCGTGTTGCCTATCAATCGTACAGTGACCAAGAAGCGCAGTGACATTGTAATAGTTCACTATTTACTACGTTAGTTTACATAACACAGCATTAATATCTATACCATATCACCATATATACAACATGTAACAAAAACCCTGTGGTTCCCGTTAACTGCGTTATCAGAGTCGGTATCCAAGCATGTAGAAACATTTTTTTTTTCAAAAAAAAACATATATAAAAATTAATTTTAATGAAAAAAAATTTTTTTTGCAAATTGTATGTGGTTTTATTATCTCTGCATTGGTCTAGGAGTTAGAGGATTGTCAAAGACCCCGCATTACCGATACTCGTGCGAGTTAGAGGAAATAAAACCACATACAATTTGCAAATTAATTTTTTTTTCGTTAAAAATATTTTTTTTAAATGTGTATTTTTGAAAACAAAATATTTCTGTACGCTTGGATACTGATTCTGATAACACACCTAACGGGAACCACAGGGTTTTTGTTACATGTTGTATATACATATATATATATATATATATATTCGAAGTGTCTATAATATCGAGAGGGCTGCCTTTCATTGACCTCAGGGGTTATTTAAATGCCACTTAAGGACCTTAGTAAGGACTTAGGTAACCATTTGTAAAAAAATTGTCCGTCTGTCTGTCCGTCCGTGCGAGCTAGTCTTCAGATGCTTGGACCCATTGTAATCAAGCTTCACTAACAGATAGAGAGTAAGGCCAGGAATAACCTACACTATATTTTATCAGAATCCGAAAAAACTTTCATTTATTTATTTCTTGGACAGCTAGAGATAATTACAATAATACCTATATGTTCACAATAATAATATATAAGTAAACTTCATTTTTAAATGTGAATCCTATTTAAGACAACTACAGCATGACTTCGAGTTTTTTTTTTAAACTAAAATTTGATAATTAAATGGTCTTTAAACATCATAAATATTCTAGATTCTTAAACATACTACCAAAGCGAAGCCGGGGCGAGTATGTATAAAATAATAATAATGTCCTCCAGACCGAATTTCGGCCACGGCGGCCATCCTCAACGGAGACAAGCCATCGGCGCAGGACAGGATTATAGTGATACTCTTGAGCACTATAATCCTTGCGCAAGCACAGGTGTACTCTCTATTCCCTCACTCTCACAATCCGATGGGACGTTAAACCGACACAACAGGACAGAGATCAGGCGCAGGACCAACGGCTTTACGTGCTTTTCGAGGCACGGGGGTGTAACACCGCCAGCTTCCTGACTCCGGGCAGCTACTGAGAATTTCTTGACGGAAAAACACAATAATTGATTTTTAGACCCGTTCCGGGAATCGAACCCAGGACCTCATGATCAGCAGTCACACTACTACAACCACTAGACCAACGAGGCAATATATAGGAGGTTATATATTACAAATATTGGGTTTAACTAATTTTATATTTTTTTAGTATACTTGCGGAAATTAGGAGGGGGGAAAAATATGCTTGTCTGTGGTTTGACTCGTTGCCATTTCAGCTTTATTTGCAAAGAATCTACATAATAATAAGCTCCAGGGTTTTATCGTTAGGACACACGCGATCGTGGGGTAACGCGTATCCCAACATTCTCACGGAATGCTACAGAGGGGACGAAGTCATCGGCCTTGGCCCGATGAACCCAATAAGGAACGTAACGTACAAACTGATCCGCGATGTCTTCCAGGAGGTACAGACTTGGTTCCCTGACAAATATATACACATTGGCGGCGATGAAGTAGAAATGGACTGTTGGTAAGTAATGAAATATCTGATTTTACTGAAGGGATGATTAACCCTTTTGTTTTTTTTTTATTTGTGTTTATTTATAGTAGAGATTTATTTTTTACGCGGTTGAGTCATGCTGCAGCTATAATACTAGTATAGTTGTAGTAAGAATGGATCGGCTCGACGGAGGGAGGACCGCGCTCTCACAGAGTGAACAGAATAACGGAGTAATAGAATACCAGCGCACAATAGCAGCCTAACGTTGCTGTGTTTCGTATGGTAATTGTAGAGAAACGACACCCTTTTAACCGGAAACGAGGCATTCTATCTTAGTCCTCACGGGTGATAACGACAAGTAGATGTCTATGCAACCACTTACCATCAGGTGGACTGTGTGCTCGTTTACCCTTATTCTATAAAAAAAAATATCGTGTGTCAGATTAGTACCGTAAAGAATAAGTACGCGTAAGAGAATCCACTATCCCATATCATCTCGTGGGAGTCGTAAAAGGCGACAGAGGGAAACTGAAAAGAAAATGAGCAGCAGCGTGTTCCTGATAACAGTTTACACGCGGTACAAATGAAACCTTAAAATGAAATGAAATATATAATAAAAATATTTTACGTTTAAAACTTTCTACGTGGTAGAGCCATGCTATATTATGGTTGCAGCACGAATGGCTCGGCTCGACCACGGTAGGACCACGCTCTCATGGAATACCAGCAAAAAATATCAGCTTAATGCTTTTGTATTTCGTATGGTGGGTGAAGAGAACCGGAGTCCCTCTTTACTGATAATTAGGCATTCTATCTTAGTCCTCAGGTGTGAAAACGCATCTGCATTTTGATTCTTAATTGAAATTAATGTTGTTGTCTATACTTACCATCAAGTGGATTGTGTGTTTGTTTGTCTTCTTTATTATATAAAAAACAAAATACTCACGAGATAATCTCTGTGGAATAATTTACCAGGCGATTTTTCCGGACCGATACGACCTGGGGACCTTCAAGAAAAGAGCTTACTCCTTTCTAAAGGGTCGGCAATGCACCTGCAATTCCCCTGGTGTTGCGGTTGATCATGGGCGGCGGTAGTCACTTAACATCAGGTGAGCCACATGCTCGTTTGCCCCCCTCTTCTATAAAAAAAAATAAGATAGTGATAAACTCTTAATTAAGCAACATACTTACGCAAGTTACCTATATCATCCGCAGGCGATCAAACCCCGAGATTCGCGAGTACATGAGAAATAACAAGCTGACTGTCGGAGACCTCCACGCGATGTTCATGCGGAACACCTTGCCTTTGCTCGCTAATAACTCTAAGGTTATAGTATGGCAAGTGAGTATACAATTTTAATGAATAACATTTGAAGAATTCACCCGAAAGAACTTAGCTATAACCACACCTCTGTTTTCTGACCAGGATCAGCGTAAATAATACTTAGTAAATAATGTGGAATATGTTTTGGATAGACAAAGTTAACAGGACACTGCAATCAATAGAAAGAATTCCTTTACCTGCACTTAACCTCTCAAACGGCAAGCGTCCAAATTTGACCGCTTCGATATTCCGTCAAAATTCAAGAGGTCAAATGTGACCGCACCCACCCACAGCACTTTAACCCATCAATACTTATGTTTAGAGACTACTTTTCTATGAAGAAGTTCGGTATTATAGAATCAATATGAAATTTTCTATCCTCTGGTGGAATAAAAAGTCAGTTAGTCTATGGATATTTATTTATAATCTACCATGAAGGCTAGAACACAGGAGAACGATCACTACGTAAAACATAGCCCGCCTGTCCTTGAAAATTGTAGAATGTATAGCGGCGCTGACGTCAGTGAGTAGTAACTGCCAAGTTAGCCGTTTATGAATACTTGAATCTTTTTTTTACTTTTTACTTAATCTACTTGAAGGTAGTTGAATAATGTACAAATTTTCATTACATTTTTAATGAGAAAATTTTCATGCTCCGTAATTTTGTAATTTTTGACAAAAAGAAACATTAAAAAATGGAGAAATATTTTATTGTGCGTGGATGTGCAAGTGGTTTAGCATCTGATCGGAAAAATAGACTAAAAATGACTTTTATTGACCGAACCTCGAGCGATCGCAGCGCCTTACTTATGGTGTCCATATTTCTGGACACTATTTTCTACGGTGATCGTTCTCCTGTTCTCTAACTTTCATGTAATCGACGTTCATTTCATACGCCATTTTCGTGTGAATGTTATTGTGTTGATTTTTCTAGTGTTTTATTAGCGTTTTAGTATAGTGTTTTATTATAAAATTTTAAATAAAGTTTTTGTGTGAATATAATTTATCTCTTTACGTAAATAAATTCGAGTAATATTTATATAAATAATTGTGATTTTCACGCTACCGACATTCGCTTTGTATTTTTTTTTTCTGTTATCAAAATACAATAAAATCTATGTAATGAAGTAAAACTTGACTTTTGTTTAGACCACAGGATACAGAATTTTGTATAGGTTTCATAATGCCAAAATCTTCAAAGAAAAGTAGTCTCTAAATATAAGTGTTAATGGTTTAAAGTGCTGTGGATGGGTGCGGTTACATGCGACCGCTCGGTATTTGCCGGATGCATGCGACTGCATGGGATTTTTATGGGGATTGAAGGGTTAAAATAAAATGTTTAAATTAACTATACATAGGTTTTGACAAAGTGGTCTTTATTTTTGGAATATCATAGCCGTTGTAAATGGGTAAGATCGTAAAAAAAGTGTAAATAATGTACTGGAAGATATAACACACGATAACACGATAACTTACTGGAATAATATAAAGGTCAGTGTTCACTTGGAAAAAGGTTCAAGTAAAATCCATTTTAAAATATTACCAGTTACGTATTTTCTTGAAATTAAGATTAAATAATCAAAAATGAATCTTAGACTATGCATAGACTATGCATATCTTGCATGTTTGCGAAACTAAACACCAAAATAACACAACACAGTAGAATTAAATCCTTTAACAAAATAATGTGCTTACAAAAAGCAATAGGTAGTAATCAAAGTAGGTTATTCATAAAAGAAATATAACAAATTTAACAAATATGTGTTTACAGTTTACAATTAGTAGAGATACCGTAAACAATTCAAAATTATGGAATTTACAATTGTTTACGGTCACGACTACAAATGAAAAAAATATGTAAAACCACCTCTATATATACAAGTACGCTGGACTGGCTGTACACCGTGACATGATGAAGCGATTTGATATCCGCCATTTTGGCGCTGACAGCAGAAGTGCGCGTCCACGGAACTAATAATAGGGATGAGACAGTGTACCAAATTATATCGATAAAATTCTATACCCTACCTATACCTAAATAGAATGGACTCTATGTATAGATGGATTCTACCCGTAACGTCCATTCTATTTATGTATCATATTAATGTAATACCATTATCATTCATCATCATTAAAGCCCTTCACAAGTCCACTGCTGAACATAGGCCTCCCCCAAGAAATGCCACAAAGCACGGTCCTGAGCCACCTGCATCCATCAACTTCCTGTACGTCTTACCAGGTTTTAACTGCATCTAGTGGGGGAACGTCCTACCGGTCCTGTCGGTACGAGGCTGCCACTCGAGAACCTTTTTTTCCTCATGGGTATTCGGTTCTTCGAGTTATATGGCCGGTCAATTGCCACTTCAGCTTACTAATCCATTGGGTGATGTCGGTCACTCTGGTTCTGCTGCAGATATCCTCATTCCTAAGTTTGAACCCCTGAGAAGAGCCCTTTTCATAGCTTGCTGAGCGACTTTGAGCTTCCTCATACGCCCAGCAGTAAAAAACCTCTTCTCAGATTCCATAGGTCATCACTGACGCTGCCCAGCCGAGTTGAATCCGTTGATTGACCTGTCGGAAGTTGAACTTACCTAGTTGGATTATTTGTCCCAAGTAAAAATACTGGTCAACAACTTCAGGTAAGTGCTCCCAAAAACCAGCGGCATATATGGGACATGGACATTACACATGACTTTTGTTTTGTCCATGTTCATCTTAAGACCTATCCGTTGGGAGACACTATTGAGGTCATTGAACATAGTGTGTAGGTCCTCCAGAGATTCTGCCATAAGGTACATATTGTGGGCAAATCGAAGGTTAGTAACGTATACGCCATTGACGTTCATACCGTATCCTTTCCAGTCCAGTAGCTTAAAAACGTCTTCCAATGCAGCGGTAAAGTATTTCGGGGATGTTACGTTACCCTGTCTTACACATCTCTACAGTTGGATTAGTTTTGTATTCTGATTCTGTACTCGGATACTTAAACCATTCAACTAAAAAATTATTAAGATTAAACTACACAAAATAAAAATAAAAACATAATTTCTAAAATAATTTATTGTCCACCGTTCATTTAGTTCTCGTATTATAAAAAACAAATCAGCTGCTATAATAACGTCTATTCCAATCAACTACAGGTATGTCTATAGACAGTAAAATATTTTCTACTATATAAAAATTTATTTTGTTAAACCTTAGTCAACTTATAGGTTGTACTTGTGCGAAGGTTATACGCATGGTACAATTAACTGACATTAGGTGGCGTGCGTATTATACTGACTACTTATTTGAAAGTTATATATCATTCTATTTCAATGATTGTATTATCATTACTAACTATACAATATAACTGTTCCACATTTTAACGATATTTCCACAATTACTTCTTCTGCGGCAGCAATGCACCGGGTACGAGCTAGCAAAATAATATAAAAAAATATAAACTTTGAATTACATAGTTATCAGTTATTTACAACGTCATTTTCGAAATTAAAATAACAATATTAAAAAAATAACAGAAATTATCATACAGTCCTACTTTCCGTGGTATCGTCCCAAGAATGCTGGCTACGTGTCCTCTCTGAATGGCTATACTTAGCCTTCAAGCGAGGAAACAACAAACTAAACAACTTCTTATTACCAGCAGCGAAGATCAGTCGCAGATACAGTTTTTTTAGGAACTACACCGCACGTGCACCCTACGGACCAATGGTCTCTTCAGCAAATTGCACAAATATGTACTCATCTTCTAGATATTCTGGGTTATTTACTTAGTTCAGTTGCCTCTAACGCCACCTCTGCTTTACACAAGGTACCCCTGAGATGGGATGCTGTCAAAGTGTTCACAAGTAGTATCCCACACTAAAGCTTTATCTCTCTCTCTCTCTCTCTCTCTCTCAAGCAACCAAACCCATACCGTCGGGTCTCCTGGTATGGTCTATACAAAGATCTTAAACCGAGGAAACATTTATAGAGATACGAGCTCTTCGGATGACATTGTCCAAGAACTAAGGACAACATTATATTAAAGAATACCATAACATTATTACACGGTTACTTAACCGTGTATTAAGGATGGATTCGACCAAATACTATGTTAAACCCTAGAGTAACTAACCCTCGAATAATTTTACTCTTTGGTTTTACACCAAGATAACTTCATTTTGCATTTTGTAACACAAACGTAGAGAAGCTAATACTGGCTATTGTTACTCCAGAGTTGGTAGTTGGTGGTACAGTTTATTCATTCAAACAAGTAAACCAACTTAAACCAAAATACAACTGTTGTAAAGCGCAATCCAAGATTTGAGGTCCACATAATTTACCGTAAGTGTAAATAATGCCGCCCAATGGCAGCCCCTCCTTAGTTGTTGATTTCTCCCCCCCGTTTTCATTCTCAGATAAGGCGCACCAGAAACAAGCCACACTGCCCTTCGCGTCCTCTAACTCCACCTGCACTATCGCCTCCCCGAGCCCGATATGTGAATGGAGCCAGGGAAAACTATCACTTGGAAGCATCAAGTGCCTCACCAAACTCGCGAAAGATTGTCGAGTGGCCGCCAATCGCCATACCAACACTCCTCTTCCCTTACGACTCCACCTCGACTACAGCGGTACAGGGAGAGGAATCTCCTCTAGCCGCAGCCCACTAAAACACATACAACGTGGCTCGACTTCATCAGGCAACCTTTCGACACTTGGCTGTGGCCATTGAGTTTGGTGAAAAATGAGGAAAGAAGAAATAAAAAGAACATTCGAAATAATAATCTAATACTTTTGTACTTACTGGTACTGGTACTACCAGAAAATATTGTCGGTATACTGCACTTTGAAAAAGTGCAGTATACCGACAATATTTCTTTGTCTGTGAAATGTTTGGAACAAATATGATCATTTTGTTTCGGACGCCAATTCACAATATTTATGCTTTTAAGCCATAATTTTAATCTAGGTTCACTTGGAAACCTGTTAATTAATAAACATTTGATAATCGTTTGTTGTTGGCGACTTTGTTTGTTAACAGATATGGGTAGGAAAGAATATCGATAAGTATTATACACAAGGAACTCAACAACCCTATTGAATTTTATTGTTTACCAAAAATCAGTAATATACAGCCAAAGATGTTGGTATATATGATAAAGATTATAACAAATTTTTAAGTACTTATATTATGAAATAGTTTTAATTTGTTTCATTTTTGCTGCAAATTCACTTACTTATGAATTGTTATACCACTTCCCTTTTGGTAACGAGTTTTACAGATTACGCACACTCTGATTATTAATAAAAATAATTCTTAGTATGAAACTAATACTATACACAATCAAACTAGATAAAATACTTTCGTTTTTTACTTTAAAAGTTCAAAATACAGATTTATTAAATAAAACAATTTAAATATGACCACAGACTTTTGCATATGTCAATTTTATTTTTCAAGACATCCTTTATCGGCGCTTCAAATTGGCACAGTCATTTTCTATGGTATAGCCAGTCCAGCGTACTTGTATATATAGAGGTCAGTGGTTAAAACTGACATTTGACAGTAAGCCTACGGCATTGCCTCATCGAAATTAGGTCAACAATGTTGTCTAATGTTGAAAACAAAAAATCTACCCCATATCGAATCGGAGTAACATACTGGATAACTTTTGGAGACACAAATTGGAATGAGATTAATAATATTATCATACTTTTTATTAGCGTATGGTATTCACAATCAAACATGGGCTCACTCAAAACTTTTAAAAAGTACATTTTTTTACCTTACCCAAATATAAATATAGCTGCGAACACCAGTGTTGTTCTGGCCGTGTGCGATCTTTATGGTGGCGCGTATGGGTGTGCGTGGTTGGGGATGGGCGGTTTGTTGTTAGTTTTACAAGTAGTGGGTGCGAGCATAAAGCGTTGCATACAAAAAATTATATTATTTCTGTGGTTACATTAGTAAAATGGCATAATGTAGTCGCTCGTTATTATGGCTGACACACACGGTCAGTTAAACTCATCAGTTGAACTAACGTACATCCAAAAATTTACCGTGAGTGTGAAATCTTAATTTGAATTTTTTGATGAGGAAAGGATTTTTTTAGTGTGTAAGTTGAAATTTGAATCCAGTGAATTGGAAAATCGTTTTGGCTTACATCCTTTTGAACTGATCAGTTTAACCGACTGTGTGTTGGCCATTAGATTGAAGAGTGGTTACTTTGGCGAGTTTGTATTGCACAAATAAGATTGGGCGGCTGTCCACTTTTTTTGCCACACTCAGCTTCTTCGCTCACTCAGCAGTAAGCCATTCAGTCTATTACCTCTGATTTGGTATTGTTATAATGGTATTGATATAGATATGACTATATCTTATCTGTAGAGAGTTTAGAGGGGCAGAGAGTAGTATATTCCCTGGGTAATAATGAAAGTGACAGGGCCCTTCATTGTTGGAGGCGGAAAACTGCTCCTCAAAAAAGGTGACACGCGGATCTTAGATACTCAATTTGCTCATCTTTAATATCATAAATATGCCTTCTTTTCCTTTACAGGAAGTATTCGATGAAGGCGTGCCCTTATCAAATGATACGCTTGTGCAAGTTTGGAAGTATTTATGGATCGACGAAATGGTAAAGGTGAGTTAAAAGAAATCACTACACTACACATATACTTGGCCAGTCTCGATGGAGACTAGCCATCTAGTCACCTTCGAGACTAGGAGACTTGCCGTCGTGAATTAAATTCCGTGTGAAGTACATTATAATAATTATTCTTAGGTGCTAGAAGCTGGGCACCGCGTGTTGTTCTCGTCGTCGTGGTACCTGGACCACCTAGGCGGCGAGTGGCCCGCGCTGTATGCCGCCGACCCGCGCCAGATGGTGCGCGATGCCACCGGAAACGACGAGCTGCTGCCCGCCGTCGTGGGCGGCGAGGCCTGCATGTGGGGGGAGATGGTTGACGACAGGAATGTCATCTCCAGGTCGGACCACGAGCCGCCCGGACCTTCTTTCTTAATAGATCTTTTACTAGGATGCTCTTCGCTGGGTTGTGGAAACGTCGGCAGAATTCACTACCCAATATCATCCCGTGATCCGCTTGAAAGTTCTAAAGGAATATCATTAGAAAGTGAAAGCGTAGTAATGATTTGTGTGTGTATCACGACAAATCTAATGATTAAAATTTGCTATCATAGCAAAAGGCTTAGCCAGTGTGCAATGGAGAAAATCGATGATTGTTTTAGCCACACAAACCAGGATTTATTTTGATTTTTATTGCAAAACATTAACTTGAAAAAAAGGGTATATTCACTGTTAAAAGATAGGTATAGTTCACCGGCGACTATTTTTTAATGATAACTAGAGATCACTTTTAATTCTTACGGAAATAATACATTTGCATTTCCATTCTTAATCGAGGATTTCCATTCTTAATAGATGTATATGGTTTATGCAGGTGTATGACAGGGACAGGAGTCTCCAAACTGAAGCCTTAGGGCCATAATTATTTTATCAGTATGTTTCAAGGGCCAAAACAGTTTTAATTTTTCTGCCCTTAACTATATTTCTAGACTAGTCCCAAAGTGCACGACCTAAGCAAACATACGCTTTTTTGCATTTCAATTACTAATGTGTATTGTGACACTTAACGACATCTAGCGTTAGTAGTAGTTAGGTTGTCTGGAAGAAATTGCTGCATAGCAATAAGACCGTCTTTTGTTTCTTGTTATGTTGTTTTCTTAGTGTTCAATAAAGGGTATTGTATTGTATTGTATTGTATTGATGAGTAGTGATACTATGTATTGTACTATTTTGCACCGCATTGGTTCGATGGTGTTCTGGTTCTGGCTATATGTGTCCCGATCACTTCGAGATCTCGTAACTGTCTATTGAAATAAACTTTATTTCTTACTTAAAGTAACACCCGTGCATAACAGTATTTTCAGATTTGACTTATTGTTTTTATGTGTTATTTATTAGTATAAAAAAGAAGCGTAAAATTGACAGTGAATGCATAACGTTCAAAGATAAATGGAACTTTCAGTATTTTGTGATTGAGTCCAGTCAATAAGGCGCTATGTTTAATTTGTAATGAAACTATAGCTGTTCTGAAAGAATAACATTAAACGACACTATGAAACGAAACATTTTCAAAATACTCCAAATATATATAGGAAGTTTGCGGATGGAAAAATTCGAAACTTTGAAGCGCGGACTGAAATCGCAGCACCAACACAACTTTCAAGTTGTTCCAGTGCCAGTTTTCGTGTGGCTCTTGAAATCGGAAAACGTAGAAACCATTCACCGATGGAGAAATGATAAAAAAATTTTCAATAGCCGAAGAAATATAGGTACCCCGAAAAGGTAAATTGATTTAAAAGTGTCAGTTTGTCAGCAAACACCGTGGCTCGGAATGTTCAAGACAACGCAGAAAATATATCATCTCACCTGTCTGACAAAAATGGACATCTTGAGGGGTTTTCTCTAGCCTTGGATGAGTCAACGGATGTGTCAGATACTGCTCAGTTGTTGATTTTTATTCGCGGAGTAGATAAAAGCTATGAAGTGTATGAAGAACTTCTTGATATTGATAGTATTCACGGCACGACAATTGGGGCAGATATTTCTAAGGGAGTTGAAAATGCCATTAATAAAAAGAACTTTCTACGGAAAAACTTGAAATCTATCACAACTGATGGGGGCAAAAATATGTGTGGTAAAAATAAAGGAATGGTTGCACTTGTGTCAAAGGCTGTAGAAAATGATAGTGGTTCAAAACCATTAGTCTTACACTTACATTGTATCATTAATGAACAGTCCTTGTGCGAAAAATAACGTTGCGTAACTCTGCATACAATAAACCAGTCATATCAGTTGTTAACTTCATCATATCCACTAAGCTGAATCACCGACAATTCCGAGAGTTTATTGAAGAGATTGGAGAAAATGACTTACTATTTAATACCACCGTATACTGGCTTAGTTGCGGAAAGCCCTAAAGTGTTTTTTTTTTAATATTTCGAGCAGAAATCGAAATTTTTATGAATGAGAAGATCGCTCTTTGGCCAATTTAGAAAATAGTGAATGGCTGTGGAAGTAAGCATTCTATGTCGATTTGACAAATCATATGAACGAACTGAATTTGAGATTGCAAGGATAAAATCAGCTTCGCCCTGATTTATACACCAATATCAAATCCTTCAGGCAGCAAATAATATTATTTCAATCGCAGTTACGTAAAAAATGTCTCACATATTTTATAACATGTGTAATATTCAGCCACACTACTGAGATTGAATTTCCAATCGATTTTGCAATCGAAACTTTGAGTGCTTTAAAGATATCTGTTTCTCAGACTGATGTAATTGCGAATAAAATTAAACTTTTTCAAAATCCTTTTGATTCTGATTGAAACCCTGGCTCTGGAAGCCCAAATGCAAATTATTTATTTACAGTGCAGTGATATGATTAGGAACAAATATCAAAATTCATCTTTGTTGGAATCTTCCACTGGTACAATTTGATAATTTGCATTTTTCTCGTGTATTGTTTTCTGTTTTTGATACTACTTACTTGTGTGAGAAAACGTTTTCCAAGATGAAGTACACAATGAATATTTACAGATATAAATTTACCGATGAGCATGTAAATAATATTATAATATTATTTTATTTTGTATGACTTAAAAAAAATAACGACCGAGACAACCGGCCAAGTTCCCTTTGATCGGCTCGATTCACTGGCGATGCAATGGGATTTTGCATCTCTTTGCACTTTTATAGTAGAGCGGGCAAACGAGCATGTGGCTCACCTAATGGAAAGTATCGGTCGGCGCCTATGAACTTGTTTCTGTCCTGTGTATTTGGGGGGGGGGGGGAGGAAAATTTTGGCCCGTTTGTGGAAGGTGGGGGTTGGGGCGGACTTTCGTACGAAGTCGTTTTAAGTATTTGTGGGAAGGTATTTCGGTAAGTGTAGGGAACCGGAGACCCTTTTTACTGGAAACGAGGCATTCCATCTTAGTCCTCACGGGTGACAACGCATCTTTTTTTATATAGAAGAGGGGGCAAACGAGCATGTGGCTCACCTGATGTTAAGTGACTACCGCCGCCCATGATCAACCGCAACACCAGGGGAATTGCAGGTGCGTTGCCGGCTCTTTAGAAAGGAGTAAGCTCTTTTCTTGAAGGTCCCCAGGTCGTATCGGTCCGGAAAAATCGCCGGTGGTAAATTATTCCACAGAGAGGTTGTACGCGGAAGAAAACTCCTTTTGAAACGTACTGTGGTGGACCGCCAAGTATCCAGATGGTGTGGATGGTATCGGGACGTTTGCCGCGTAGTGCGTTCACGAAATTTGGCGGCTGGGATTAATCCGAACAATTCCTCAGAGCACTCTCCATGGTATATGCGAAAGAAAATGCAAAGGGATGCAACATCTCTTCGCAGTGCCAGTGAATCGAGCCGATCGGAAAGCACTCGGTCGTCGACGATTCGAGCCGCTCTGCGCTGGATGCGGTCAAGTGGAAGGAGCTGGTACTGGGGAGCCCCAGCCCAGAGATGGTAACAGTATTCCATGTGCGGCCGAACCTGCGCCTTGTAAAGTAGCAGGCGGTGTGCCGGCATGAAACACTGTCCCGCTCTGCTGAGCACGCCAAGCTTTTTAGAGGCCAATTTGGCCTTCCCTTCCAAGTGACCACGAAACTGCACGTCACTCGATATGTCGACGCCGAGGATTCCGATACTGGCTGAGGCAACAAGGGGAGTGCCTTGAAACTGAGGGGATACTACAAAGGGGTTCTTTTTAGCGGTTAACGCGCAAACTTGTGTCTTCTGGGGGTTAAACTGGACTAGATTTAGTCGCCCCCAATCCGAGACTCTGTCCAGCAGAGACTCGATTTCAGACACAAGTTTGTCCCGGCACTCAGAGACGTTTTCCCGAGAAATATTGGCTCGGCCGGTGTAAAGAGCATCACCAGTGCTGTCATCTGCATAGCAATGAATGTTACGGGTTTGCAACATATCATTGAAATGCAGAAGAAAAATAGCAAGTATGGAACACCGATTATGTTAGTTCATCTGCAAGAAAACTGGTGATCCAATCGCACAATTTCTCGGGAAGCCCATAGGAAGGGAGCTTTGAAAGAAGCGCTTTGTGCCAAACCCGATCGAAGGCCTTCGCGATGTCCAAACTAACGGCCAATGGCCCCTTGGACTCTATGTGAGTTAGGTAGACCAGAAGATCACCAGCTGACCTACCACGGCGAAAACTGTATTTCTTATTGGTTCTGTACCTCTGGCTGGCAGTAATATTGTTTTGGAGAACAAGGAGGTGATGGCGATAAGCCGGTAGTTGGATGGGTCTGAGCGGTCGCCTTTTTTTAGGGATCGGGTGGACGAAAGCCGTCTTCCATGATTTTGGGACTACGCCTAGGGAGTAGGAGTACCGGAAAAGACGCGTTAAAACCGGTGCCAACTCTGGAGCACACGTCCTCAGCACAATTGGGGGGATTCCGTCAGGCCCACTCGACTTGTGGATGTCCAGGGAGAGGAGTGCTTTGCGAACCGAGCGCTGAGTGAACTGCACTTCCGGCATGGAGCACTCACACAGCGGGATGGTCGGCGGCGTACTCCCCCCGTCATCGAGCGATTAGACGCAAAGAAAGAGCCTAGAAGATCGGCTTTCTCCTTTGCGGCGTGGGCCAGTGAGTCGTCCTCCCTGTGGGAGAAGAGATGGCTGACAGAAATTCCCCTGGACAGCCTTGGCGAGAGACCAGAATGCACGGTTTCCAGAAGGAAGACGAACTAGTTTCTCGCCAATTCTGCCTATGTGTTCTGACTTTGCCTTGGCAATGACTCTTTTGAAGGACCTAGAGGCGGAATTATACTTCTTTTTTAGAGCGCTGGTGTTTACATCCCGGGACGCTGATGCGTCAGCCCAGGCTTGGTAGCACTCCTGCTTATAGCATGATGCTATTTTACAGGAGCGACCAAACCATGGCTGAGACTTGCCTCCAATGGGCACCACAGAGGAAGGAATAAAATGTTCCATACCCTGAAGTACCACATCAGCAACAGAATCCGCAACAACGTTGGGATCGTCCGGCGAGAAGCAAACCCGCCCCTAAGAGTAGGATGCAAAGAAAGACCGCATCCCATCCCAATCTGACCTATAGTGCCAAACACGGCGGCAGCCTGCAGAATGCAACCGCGATTTCAGCGTGAGTGGTACCACACTCCGGACGAGACAATGGTCCGAGGAGTCTAAAGGGGCGTCGACGGAAATCTGATATCCGTCCGGGTGAGAGGTCAGCAGAAGGTCCAACAGGGAAGGTGCATGATCCTCCACATCTGGAATCCGCGTAGGCGAGGTAACCAGTTGTGTCAGACCATATGCCAGGGCAAAATCGTGAACAAATCTCCCCGCATGATCGGTTAAATGTGAACCAAGCCATTCGGCGTGATGGACGTTAAAGTCGCCGAGGATCACGATCTCTGCGGAGGGGATCTGCTGTAGCAACGAATCTGCAGCCATTTGGACGTGGTCGAAGAGTCGGTCTGTTTCGGCATTACCGCTATGGGACCTATAGAGGCACCCGTAGATGCGCGGATGGTCGTCGCTGTCTACGCGTAGCCAAAGGATGGACAGGTCCGAACCTTCAAGTCTGCCGAGGCGTCGAGAACAGATGTCCTCTCTGACGTAAACGCATGACTTAGGAATCTTCAAGAAACAAGCTGACTTAATCAGAATAACTAAGTCAGAATAGCTTCCTGGGATCTCAAAACATCGAGATCTGATGAAAATTCGATTTTCTAAAATCGGCGTAAAACCAATAACTTCCCTATTTTTTAAAATTTTCAATTTTCTTAGCGGGAATTTAAAAAAAGTTTTTGTGTTGGCGTTTTGGAGTGCATTCTTTTAGCCCCATGGTTTGATTTTAATTTTCTGAGTCTATTTATTTTTTCTTGACGTAGAGTGTGGCCCCGAGCTAGCGCGGTAGCAGAGAAGCTGTGGAGCGCGGAGGTGCCGGCGGCCGGGCGCCGTTGGAGGAGTTCGCGCGACGCGCCGCCGCTGGAGGCCTACCGCCGCATGGAGGAGCACGTGTGCCGCATGATCCGCCGCGGGGTCGCCGCGCAGCCCGCCAGCGGACCCGGCTTCTGCTTGCCCTGAACCATCATATCTGATCTACTGTATCAACCTTCTTACTTACTTACTTTGTACACGGATTTATAATCACACGTGTTTTTACGTTTTTAATATACTTTGTTTCTTTTTATTGGTGCGTTTCTTTGTTACTTCTTTAACTAAATATTGGGTATATTGTTTAAAGTAGTATGCCGTTACACATATATTTGGCACGCAGCCTTGTGGAATACCAGCGTTAATGGGCTTGTAATCGGAGCATGCACCGTCTAATACGACCTTGATGCTCCGATCTGCAAGAAAACTCGTGATCCAATTGCACGATTTCTCGGGAAGCCCATAGGATGGAAGCTTCGCAAGAAGCGCGTTGTGCCAAACCCGATCGAAGGCCTTCGCTGTGTTCAAACTAACGGCCAACGCCCTTGGACTCTAGTGCCTCCGCCCATCTCTGAGTTAGGTAACCCAGAAAATCACTAGCTAAGCTACCCCGACCGAAATCGTGCTGACGGTATCAGCTAGTGATTCTCAAGGTACCTCATGAGCTGGCAATTAATAATTGTCGACAGTAAATATTATGTAATATATTCCCATGTTGTTTACATATTATTGCTCGTGACTGTACACAAAACATTTTTAACTCTCTTGTTCGGAGTAATGACTTCGTCCGTGGTAGAGCCATGCTTCTGTTATATTATGGTTGTAGCACGAATGGGTCGGCTCGACCGGGGAAGGACGCTCTCACAGAATACCAGCGTAAAATAGCAGCTTTATACTGCTGTGTTTCATATGGTGAGTGTAGAGATCCGGAGACCCCTTTTTACCGGAAACGAGGCATCCCATCTTAGTCCTCAGGGGTGACAATGCATCTGCGTTTTGATTCTTAATCGAGGATAAATGTAGATGTCTATGGGCCACAGCATCCACTTACCATCTGGTGGACTGTGTGCTCGTATGTCACCCTTATTCTATACAAAGAAAAAATGAAAATAAAAATAATTTTATCAGAAATTGACATTTTATCGTAATCAACCTACCTAACGACTTTTTGGGGTGAAAAAACTGGCAATCTAGCATATAGCAACATTTTGAAAAATGTCTAGCAACTGGATAAGCTAGCAGTAGGCAACACTGGTGTGGGCCGAACTCCTTGCCCGTGCCCGATATATAGCGCAACAGCTTCAGAAATTTGATAGCGCGATTTAGGCTTCGGTACGTTTCGAAGCCCTTTGAGTATTAAACCTTTAAGGTTTAATAAAGTTGCATACTTTGGGCATTCAGCAGAACTCCCATAGGTGCGAAAACATGGTCAGTCAATCGCAGTCAGTATAGGTACTATACCTAAGTAACTTAATTAACATTTCGCAATGTATTTTTGTACTCTTTATTGACATACTTTAGTAACCACGGTAAGTCTGTCGTGACTTAGGAAGGGGAAAAGATGCAAAGTAATATGGACACTCGCGCGCAGCAGTAAAGTTTTATTTAGCTTGCGTACGTGATTTATCTAATTAATAATAATAATGTAGGTTTTTAAACGTCGGCAAGCAGTCAACATCAAAGGAAGCAGCAACTTCGGTACGTAGTACTATTATTAATTGGTCATGATCGACCTGATAGAGTTCTTCGGTCAGCCGGCGAACTAATTCTATGTAGAACCATGTTCATTTCGAACAAAATTTATGAAATATTCTTTTACGAGCCAAGCCATAAGGTTATGGAATGAACTTCCACTCCAAATTCAACGTGCACAAACTTTGGAAAGTTTCAAAGGTGACGTCAAGAAGCATTACCTAACACTTTGTGGTTATTGATATCCAATTCTAGCAACAGATAGTTATTCTGTGTTTTTCTTTTTTTTCCTCTTTGTTTTGTATTTATTATCTATGTATATATATGTATGCGTATATATATATATATATATATATATATATATATATATATATATATATATATATATATATATTTTTGTGTATATATATATATATTTATTTGTATATATATATTTATATATATACCTACGCACCACCTCCTACTGTTCTTAATTACAGTTTCTCCTTAGCCCAAAGGTTGTCTGGAAGAGATCGCTCTTTAGCGATAAGACCGCCTTATTGTACATACGTATATATTAAGTTTTCTCTGTAATGTATTTATTCGTTGTATATGTGTGGTGTACAATAAAGTATATACTACTACTACTACTACTACTAATTCTGGGCTTGTGGCGCGATAACAGCGCCAACACATCACCCCCTTGCTCAGATCGAAGGTCGATGTTGCAGTCTAGTTATCGACGAATGTGCAAGTGTCAGGAGATTGCTTTGTAGTCTGCGGTGAGTCTAGAAGACGACAAGTAATCTGCGAGAGTTCCGTGAAGCAGAGGCAAGCAGTAAGGCCGTGCTGGGCAGAGAGTAGTATGAAGGAACAGGAAGGAAGCATTATTCCAGTGCGGCGATGATACTTCTAAAGCTAGATGGCTTACAGGATGTCAAGACTGCAGACGATATCTGCTCGGGAGGGAATGGATGGGGTATCGATGGAGGTAACGATGATGACGAGAAGCTTAAAATTTAAGTTTCTGAAGGATGTATTCACCAACGTGGTTGTGAAAGGAAAATGGGAAGAGGAGATCTCCCGCCGGACAAGATGTTCAGCCCGAGGAGTTAAATTCGGTCAGCAGATAAATTCGGAGTTATTCTATATAACTCGAATTTCTTCGGAATTTTGAAAGCGTGATTAGCGTGGCTTCGGTTCGTTTCTCTTGTGGCGTGACTACAGCGCCGCCACAATAAAGTTATATTATTAAGTACTTGAAAATCTTTGCATCAGTGCAGAATAAATAATAGTACAAAAAGCATCAATAATGTTAAACACTCGTAATATAATATTACAATAACACTCTCACTCTTTCACAAAACCAATTAATTGTGACTTCTTATTCTTGTGGGGTAAATACTACCATTAGTACCAAAACTTCAAGAATTTAACTGAATAATTTTCCGAGAGTAAAAATAAGATAAAAAGCACTGAGAAAAAACGCGAAAGGGACAACTCCATCGAGGTGTGGGAACATTAGTTTAACTCAGCCTTCTTAATCGTTAAGCCTAATCTTATTTTGATGTGTCAATTGACTCACTAATAACTTTATTTATTCTAGCCTGAGATCCGAGATGTGTGAGAAACATGACATGGATCCGAGATGCGTAGTCATTGAGTTATACAAAACTAGAGGAGCCAACCACATTACCGTGCATCGAAAAAAGTGTAACCACTATCCAACCGCGACGACGTAACTTTTAAATTACTAAACATTTTAAATAAACATATATCTGTCTCACTTACACAAGTTGCGAAAACAATACCGTCGCTAAGATTAGATAAAGATAGACACACCAAACATGTAACGGCGGATTGGTGTGGCTTACTATATGAAATTTAACCTAAAATACGCAATAAAAAGGAGTTTTTTAAGCTGCAGTTAATTGTCTTTATTTAAAAAAATATATTTTTTCTTATCAGGTGAATTGAAGTTAGCATAACTGAAGAAATAAAACATATTTTTTATAAATATTTTTATTGTACTAATAAATCAAACAATATAAAAAAGGTAATAAAATATTTTTTTATATGATAAGGGTGACAAACAAGCCACAGTCCACCTGATAGTAAGTGAATGCTGTGACCCATAGACATCTACATTCGATTAAGAATCAATATGTAGATGTGTTGTCACCCCTGAGGACTAAGATGGAATGCCTCGATCCCAGTAAAACGGGTCTCCGGTTATCTACACTCACCATACGAAACACAGCAGCATTAAAATACTATTTTATGCTGGTTTTCTGTTAGAGCGTGGTCCTTCCTCGGTCGAGCCGAACCATTCATGCAACAATCATAATATAGCTGCAGCGTGGCTCTACCACGTAAAGAATTAATATTATATACGTAATTATATAAAAATAAAATTATAGTCAATATAAAATTATTAATATAAAATTGGTAATAAAGTATATTTAATAGATCATTCATGGATAAACTAAAATAAGAATTATTAATTATTTTGCATGAACGTCAAAACGTAGTTTTATTATAATTATTTATGGGTAATTAACTTACTCCATTGATTATATAGTCTCCCGTTAATGTGGGATAATCACAAAAGCGGAAAAGTGGTAACATTTTACCTAAATCGCAATATTCGATAATTTTATTAAATAATTTGAGGTTTTTACGTTTATATGAAAACATGAACTAAAACTTATGTGTGGAAAGTGATTCCGCTTGATTTATTATGTTTTTGTGACCTTGAATCGCATTCTTCCACTACGCATTTACGCAGTTCTGCCCAACTCTGTCGGCGTCACATTGAACACTGAAGTACTGAACTCCCGTTAGCTAGGCATATGGTTGTGGCCATATGTGCAATGGCAACGCTTTGGCGCGATAATTACTAATCTATAGTCAACCAAATCTAAGAAATACCTTTTGACGTTTCACATTAATCATTCCGCAATGAATTTGTACAAGCGTACTTACACGATTAAAAATAATCTTTTACGTAATTGCGAAGGATTATGAAGTTGTCCATATTTCATTACAACGTGTATAGTTTTTTATCACTAATTAAAAATTCGAATCTTTCAAACAAAGCAAAATATTAAAAAAGTAACCAGTATCAACTTTTTTTACTTGACATCGTTTCAATGATATGTCGCTTTATCCTTTATACCGTATTTGGATGATTAAAATTCATTGTTATGCGAATAATCGGCAAAATTATTCAAATAATCGATAAAAATATCCAAATGTATTTCTTAGACTTGGTTGATGCATGAAGGTTAGAGAACAGGAGAACGATCGCCGTAGAAAATAGTGTCCCAAAAATATCGATACCATAAGTGAGGCGCTGCGATCGCTAAGATCGGTCAATAAAAGTCATTTTCAGTCTATTTTTCCGATCAGATGCTAAACCACTTGCACATCCACGCACAAAAAATATTTCTCCATTTTTTAATGTTTCTTTTTGTCAAAAATTACGAAATTATGGAGCATGAAAATTTTCTCACCAATGCCGTGGAGAAAATATGTACATTATTCAACTAACTTCTCATAAACAGATAACTTCGCAGTCACTACTCACGGACGTCAGCGCCGCCATAAATTCTACAATTTTCAAGGACAGGCGGGCTATGCTTTAGTACGTAGTGATCGTTCTCATGTTCTCTAACCTTCATGGTAGAAGTACCAACGTTGCCAGATACACTGTAATTACAGTAGTATTGGATACCGTATTTTTATAAATACAGTGTATAGAGACATATTATTTTTTTATAACAATAAAACAAAACTGCATTTTATAACTACTTTTCGGTATGAAAAATATCGTATATTATGAATATGTGTAATAGCATATTATTCAGCTAAATGAAGTTAGATAATATGGTATAGTGTAGTTTTAATGTTATATTTATATTAATATGTGTCATTCAAATTGTCTAGTATTAGATTGGATTGACACCAACTTCTTTGGCCGAGCAGCAACAAATCGCAACAAATAGATGATCAATAAAAAAAAATTAGATACAATGGATGCATTTTGGCACAAGGTAAAATCATTCTTATCAATTACAAGTGTAGCACTTTCTATACATATTTTTCTTATTACATTCATTACAGGTGAAGCAGTTTGAAGAGTTCAGAATGGTTGTCTAGTTTATACTGAATATTTTAGCTCTTCCAAATACTAATGCGAGTATGAAAGTGTTCAGCCTAATATATGACACAAACACTAAAAAGAGAAACAAATTAATTACGGAGCTGAAAAAACAAGCAATTTGTCGTCATGGTGGCAACGATAAGATGCTGAACTCTTTCAACTCAGAAATTTACAAAAAAGAGGTGACAATCGACAGAGACGGTGATTAAAATATTTTATGCATAAAAATTTCAAGATGTTTTGTTACTTTGAGGATATTGCGGTTATAATAAATGCATATTTTACAATAACTCCTTTATTGTATGACATTTAATTGCACTGTAAAATATACTGTTTTTTTTTCATCAAACACTGTATTTTTCTCGCAAACACCGTATTTTAATGTGAACAGCACGGTATTTTCGAAACTTTATGCTGGCAGTACCGTGGGAAACTGAAACTACTAAAGTGGAAACACTGATTGTAAACAATTTTTGTTTGAATACATGTGCACATCTTTCTTTTCCGATTAATATTAGAATTTCCTCTAATATGACATGCAAATAACAATCTAGAAAGTGAAATAAAAATGTCAGGCTATTTAGAGGTGAAGCACCCTTTAAAGTCAAACCTAGCCCTGAATCCTTTCAAGGTAAGCTAAGTAGTTTCGCAAACATTTTTCTTGGAATATTGAATGGTATTAATTATTTTGTTTGTTAGTCGTGGAGGAGACAATGGTGTATACTTCGGCCAAGTGCAACTTGTGGTGGTGCATCCCTAGCTGTGTACTGCAGCGAAGCGGGTGCTCCAGCGGGGACGGTAGAGCTTCCTTCTGGTTGTGTTGTGAAACGGGCAAAGTCCCGTACGCGACCGCATGCGTTCGCCGTGTTTTCTGTTGACGAACCGTGCAAGCCTCGTGTGTTGCTCGCAGCACCTTCTCATAATGATGCGCAGCTTTGGATGGATAAAATTAGAAATTTATTGAGTAGTGATAAACTATTAGGTAAGTCCTTTTCGCAATACTACCTTCAACTTTAGATTGTCATAAGACATACCTTCAACTATTTTTATTACTTAAGTAAAGTTTTCTTATGTGAAATAATTTGTTGTTAATCATGTTATACATATATTATGTTGATACACTACTTACCGTGACTTTGTTTTAGAAACATAGGTACAAGAATGTTCAGACATATAGCATCCGCTTATATAACTGATAGTTTTTTTTTTAATAAATTCATCCAGCAGTGGATTAGTGTTTCACAATTCTTAATGTTTTTATTAAACATTTAATGTTTCCACCATGTATTAGTAATTAATTTCTAGTGAAATAGGGTTATCAAAATTAGGATTCAAAAATGAACATATTAACTTTTTTTATTACACAAACACTATGTACTGAATAAAACTACTTTAATGGATTGTATCACATGTAATTTGACTTATTTTTTTGAGTGCACCACCCAAGGTTAAACTGGGATATCTTCAGTATTAAATGTAATTAATAAATGAAAGCTGAATGTATGTGTATGTGTTCTGGGTTGAATATAATGTTGAGACTTCAAACACTCAGTCTCCCACCAGCCCTTGTGACTGGGTGCTGCAAAGCCATCAAAACATTGTGAGTTTAAAATATGTCCAATTAAATGCTAATAAAATAATCTATTTAAGTACTTTATTCACTATTATTTTTGTCTTAATGTTATTGTCAAGCTGTAATTCCAACCCTGTTACTGTGCATGGATTGATGAACATGTGGCTGAATGATTGCATACCTTGAACTTGTGAAGACACAATACCTTCATTCACAGATCTTCCATTTGGGGGCATTCAAGTATAACTTTCTATCATTTTAGATGCCCAATTACCCAGTATAAGCAAAAATATAAATAAATGCGAACTAACCCCTCCCCTATATGATAAGAATTTGTTCAAAATCTTAATCAAATATTAAAGTTATGATTTAAAAGACTCGAATTATGAATAATTTTTTGTCCATGGGCTGCATATTCAAGTTTATAAATCATTTACAATTGGTATTTTACATTTACAATTTAGGCTAAATTTTATAAATTTTTTATCTTACAAAAGATTTTTAATATTTCTCCTCTGTTTGTCAGCAAAAGTAAGAAAACATAGAACCACCCGCCTAAGTCTACTCACATAATACTTGCATGTCCCCTTTACTTATTTTTCTTATTGCTTAAATATAAAAAATACTATTATTCATGTTTGACAAACAGCAGAAAATGGTGGATATGAAATTATAACCTTAATTTCTCATAATCAGATACATAATATTTACAATTACTTAATACTTTATAATATATCATCTAAATCTATGTTCAATTGATTTTAATGAGTACTGGTTCAACTTCAATCTGGAGTAAATTGTTCTGCAGATATAGAATTTGTTTTTTTCTACGTTTTGAGATACCTAAACTATGAAACAGAATTTTGCCCCACATTATTTTCTGATGTTTTATAAATATATTAGTATTTTTTATAAAATAAAAGTAGCCTAATTTACTCCTTATAACATCAGCTATCTACCAAAAATTGGTCCAGCCATTTCCGGAGATTAACAAAAAAAAAACAAACAGAACACAGATAAAAAAATATTTTTGTTAGAAGTTTCCTATATATGCTTTCAAATGCATTTAATAAAAAGCTGCTTTTTTGACATTACAAACAGACACTTCAATGTTATTTATTTGTTATTGTATATCAAAGTAATAATGAAAAAAAGATGATTTATGATCTCATTATTACTTTGCTGGCAAATTAACCACCCTCCCCCTCTCTTCACACTGTGATGATGTAGATGATGTTCATACACCCCTTATCCTCTCAGCCCAGGCCACATAATTTCTTAAGTGTACTCCTGTGTTCACTGTAATCCTGTGGACTAAAATGGAATTCACACAGCCTATAGTTCATATTGGTTCTCCATATTCTTAAACTGGAACACTGCAGTTGAAAGTAGAAATAGGTAATAGGATTTACTCTGCACCCCAATAGACTTCTTAGCACTAAAAGTGCTATAATAATTATATTTCATACCCTGTTCGTTTTTGTGTATGATTTTATGTGAACAATTACTATATTTGGTAGTACAATGCTGCAGCTATATTATTGTTTTAGCATGAATTGGTTGATTTGACCGGGGAAGGACGACACTCTCATAGAATATCAGAGTAAAATAGCAGCTTAATACTGCTGTGTTTTATATGGTGGTGGTGAGTGACTGTCTCGTTGGTCTAGTGGTTGTAGTAGTGCGACTGCTGATCATGAGGTCCTGGGTTCGAATCCCAAGTCAGGCCAAAAAATTAACTATTGAGTTTCTCCGTCGAGAAATTCTCAGTAGTTGCCCGGAGTCTGGAAGTTGGCGGTGTCTCACCCGTGTGCCTCGGAAAGCACGTAAAGCCATTGGTCCTGCGCCTGATCTCTCCGTTTACCGTCTCATCGGATTATGAAAGTGAGGGAATAGAGAGTGCACCTGTGCTTGCGTATACACTTGGGCACTATAAATTAATTGAGGATAAATGTAGATGTCTATGGGCCACTGCATCCACTTACCATCAGGTGGAATGTGTGCTCATTTGTCACCTATATTTTATAAAAAAATAACTATATTTTACCCTATGTCTTATTAGTAACAAACTGGATGATATGCAAACCATTAATGTTTTATATCCTACATATTCATTATTAATATCATTAATTATGGCTTCCCTTCCTTAGTATTAAACATACTTCAAAAAAAGGAGGAGGAGGTACTCAATTTGAGTATTTTTTTTAATGTTTGCTCAGACCTTTTTTCAGGTGAACCGATTTTGATGATTATTATTTTATTTGAAAGCTAGTCGCTTCTCATGTGGTCCTATATAAATTTGATCAAGATCTGATCAGTAGTTTATGAGTTATCCTTTATAATGCGTATTTATACGTTTTTTATATGTGGGGTAAAGCCATGCTGCAATTATAGTAGTAGTATAGTTGTAGCATGAACGGGTCGACTCGACCGGGGAAGAATGCTCTCACAGAATACCAGTGCGAAATAGTAGCTTAATGTTGCTGTGTTTTGTATGGTTAGTGCAGAGAACCGGAGACGCTTTTTATTGGAAACAAGGCATTCCATCTTAGTCCTCACAGGTGACAATGCATTTTCATTTTGATTCGTAATCGAGGATAAATGTAGATGTGTATGGGCCACCACAACCACTTACCATCATGTGGACTGTGTGCTCATTTGTCACCCTATTCTATAAAAAAATTGACTTAGACTATTGATGATGTTCTCATTTTATTTATATTGAAGTCGGTTGTACAATTTTTTTTATGTTACCACTTATTTATACAGGCTGTTTGGATGATGGGTGCAAAACCTGAAGGGGTGATACCTTAAACCATGTAGAACATTTTAAGCTAAACTTGACTTAAACAAAGTCTGCTCCTTTTTTTAATTGAATTTCTAAGGTTTTTAACAATAAAACCCAATTTTTTTTCAACTAATTGCTAATAGTGTCCATCATATTGATCATATTGATGCCATCATTAAAAAAAAAATAAAGTAGCTTTTGTTGTTCAAATCTTTTTAAAAACAAGTTTAGTTATACTCTTTCTTTTGAGGTAAGTATTATTTACGCAGATGTCTCATCAATATTTTTAATTTTTAACAGACCAATAAAACAACATTTTTTGTTGAAATAATTTATTTTTCGAGTTCAATATGTTGACCGCGATTTCTGACACAAGCGCGGGCGATAGTATTCCATCTCAGTCCTCGGGGGTGACAATGCATCAGAATTTTGATTCTTAATTGAGGATAAATATGGATTCATTTACCATCAGGTGGACTGTATGCTAGTTTGTCACCCTTATTCTAAAAAAAGTATCCCTTAGTAGTTACAATATAGAAAAATCCAGACAGGACTTAAATAGCTTCTTCAATGAAAAACAATGGTCTTTAAAACCCCATGATGCACGGCCATGGCCCAAATTTGCGTCATTCGTTGACGTCACAGCATTCGATGCAAATGCGCGCGCTGTATTTGAAATTATAATCTCGCGAATGTGTAACGCACGAACTGGCCACTTACATTTATGTCCCATTGTTATATACTCGACTCGAACTTGTTGTTTTAACAAACTTCCTTATGACCTCAGACGGCGGAAATTTTTAATCCTTTTGAGTTAATAGTTTGCCTGCCACGTTAGTCTAATGGCAGTAAACGCGATTTCTGATAAGTTCCTGGGTTCGAATCCCGGATTGGGCCAAAATCTTTTATTTTTCTGTCAAGAAATTTTCTGTGTCCGTCCAGAGTTAGGACGTTGACGGTGTTTCACCCCCGTGGCTCGGAAAGCACGTAAAGCCGTGGATCCTGCATCTGATCTCTCTCCAGTCGTGTCGGATTACCGACGCATTGGACTATGAGAGTGAGGAAAAAGAAATGTCTTTGCGTATATACTCTAGCACTATAATCCTCTTTCGCACAAATGGCTGGTCTCCATTGGGACTGGCCGCCATGACTGAGACTCGGTCGAACAGCACGAGACTTCTTAAAATTGAGTAACGTTTGAGTTTTTGGACATTAGTCTCATGTTTAAAAATGTATAGATTTAAAAATACTTTTGTAACCTGTGTGAAGAAATTTGAAAGCTTTATTATATTAGTATGTTTTTCCTTATTGACTCACAAACTTTGTTTACATAATATATTAAGTAATCTATTTCTGATGTTTCACCTCAGGAATGTGTTGCTTTGTTAAATTATTAGTTAATATATCACATAACTTTAACAAACGTCCCATTGTTTCGTTAAGCTTATGTTTAACATTCATACAGGTCCACATTCATCTCATTTGCTTATATCATTATATACACATACATAGGGCAGTTTTGCTTTGATATTTTAAGGAAAAAAGAGCTATGAAATATTTATAGTTTCGACTATTAAATCGTATTAAACCATGTTCACTTATTGAATAAAACTATATATACGGATTTTATAGCGTTTTAGTAACTTATTTTTAATTCCCGACATTTCCGGTGCTTTACACTCTCGGTCACGGGGGAATGAGATGTTTGACGTCCTACTTACTTTCAGTTTTTGAATATCTATTTTTGAGGTCTGATATAATTTTCGAAAACTGAAAGTAACCGGGCTAAATATGACATTGAGACGTCAAACATCTCAATCCACCCCCCACCCTTTGACCATGGGTGCTGTAAAGCACCCGAAACGTCGAGAATTAAAAAATAAGTTAATTAAACGCGACAAAATCCGTATATATAGTTTTATTCAATGTGTAGTGTTCGCGTAAATTTAAAAAATCATTACATGTTCACTTATATTTTTGCAACTTGGACAACGTTTAGCCAAAAATATTGGTGTAGATGGTAAATTGTGAAGGAAGGGATAGGTGGTTAACCCATTTTGTACACAATCACAAATCATATCCCATTAAATTGCCTTTAGACACGGTTGGCATGTAACACAGTTAGCATATTCCTTATTGTTTTTAAGTTCTACATAAACACGGGATCTATAAGTCCCAGACCAACATTTTAATATCTTATTAATTTAAGATGTTACATTTGATATACATCCCACAACTGGGCACAGGCCCCCTGTCTCTCTTATCTCTTAGAAGGTTTTAGGGCCAGGAAAATACAATTCTAATAAATTATTGTTGTTAAACATGTTAAAAATTAATAAGCTAAAATCCGCGTATTAAATTTAAAATGATGTGTCTTGCCTAATTTGAAAAGCACCTTCCGCTCTTCCACAATTGCGTACACTCCACCATCACTAATACATTTTCTATATATAGATATATAGGTACATTGTACACACATATATTATAATAATATAACGCATCAAATAAACTCAACGTTACTAAGAAGCTCTATTCACAGTGAAATGAGTTAATGTGAAACAGCAAAGCTGCCCTTAATCATGCTTCCTTCATCTGCATACTCTCATCATCATTTCAGGCGACAGTTTACTCAAAGATTCGTACTCGGTGACGGTGATGAACACGGATCTGTCTCGGAAGTGCGGCCTGGGAGGTGCGGACTGCACGGTGTCGCTGGCGGGCGCCGGGCTCCTGGTGGCGAAGCCCCGAGCTCTCGCGGCGCTGCTGCCCTGGAAGCATCTCACAGATGCACGGCTTTCGGAAGCCGGCTGCGATAAGAACACTTGTATTCTATCGCTCGATAGGTTGGTTGCAGCTAGTTAGGTTATTGTATATTGGTACCCTTTCTCAACCGATATTTTTTTATAAAACTCAAATCACTAATGAATATCACCCACCTGGCTTTTTACATCGTAGAGCCATGGTATTGTAGTTGTAGCATGTATGGGTCGGCTCGACCGTGGAAGGACCACACTCTCAATACGGCTGTGTTTCGTATGATGAATGCAGGGAATCGGAGACTCTTATTACTGGAAACGATAGTCCTCGGGAGTGAGAACGCATTTACATTTTGATTCTTTGTTGAAGATAAATATGAATGTCTATGAGCCACAGCATTCACTTATCCTCAGGTGGATTGTGTGCTTGTTTTTCACCCTTATGCTATAAAAAAAAAACTTAATGGTAAGTGGCCACGGACACCTGCAGCCTACTTTTTTTTTATAAAACGGAAGGCTACAGATGGTATGACTACACTTTTGAGGACTAAGATAGAATGCCTCGATGTGTATAATTATAATAGTTCTATATACTCTTCAGACCGAAATGCTTGGTTATAGAGCTAGGCGAGGAAGGGAGGGAAGACAAGTAATCCTACGACTGGTACATAGCAAATTATACACACACGAAAATATCTCGTATTGTAGCAATTATAACAATGGCCTCATTGACGCAGTGTTGACTATATCGTCGCTTCAGTAATACAACAGGATTTTTTCAGTAATATAATATGTATGAGGGCGACACTGAAGGTTTTTAGAACTGGCCACTTGTAAACGATATAGTAAAAAAATAAGTAACATTTTGAAAATGGAAATTTGCCAATATTATTGTGTATGTATTTTATTAATTTGTAATTTGTTTACAATTTGGCGGCAAATAGAGAATTGTCTGTGTCATGTCAGCATGAATTTAACAAGAGAAAATTTTCGTACAATGATATTTTATGACTTTCATCATAGATCACTGTATATATATTTTCAATGTCATTTAAGTCGACAAGAAAGTTACGATAGACTTCGATTGGCCTTTGACGATGAAGCCCCATCTCGTGCTACTGTATATAACTAGTTTAATGAGTTTAAACGTGGTCGCACTAATCTCACCGATGATCTGCGTGAGAGACAGCCTGCTACGGCGACGACTGAAGATAACATCAGTGTTATGCGGCGTATGATAGAGACTGACAAAGGAGTGACTTATCAGCAAATTCGGACAAGCTTAGGCATTGGATGTTCCTTACGTCTGAAATAAACACTTATTACTATTATTATTGATATGATTCAAGTGCACAAAATCATCAATGAACATTTAGCGATCAGGAAGCTTTGTGCCCGGTGAATACCTCATAATTTGACAGAAGCCCAAAAACTCCGTCGTGTTGATTGGTGTCGTGAAATGATTCAAAGATTTAACGGAGGTGACTCAAATGCTGTATTCGACATACTTACGGATGACGAAAGCTGGATTTATTGT